CGGACGCCGCTAAGGGGCCTTCTCTGCCGTCCACCCAGAAGCCCGCCCGGGGGACACTGCTTGTCAGAGGAGCTGAGCACACACCGTCCCCCCGCTTCCCTCCAATCACCCTACAGACAGCCAAGTAGGAAGTCAAGGGAACTTACACTTTGGGGACAGCAGGAGACGGAGCCGCCATGTTCCCCCATCCCGGAGGGGAACGGTCCACGGAAGCCGCGCTGCACAATCCACGTTTTAAAGAGCCCGGTCAAGCGTTTCGCTTCCCTGGACAGCGTTCCTTTGGCCCCGCCTTCACACGTCGTCATTGGCGGGTCTGCGACGATTGACAGCGAGACTGGCCACTCGCTCCAGCTCCAAGAGTGCAAACCCCGCTCATGTCCCAAGGCTCTGCTTATTGACTGAAATCTTTGCTCTTCTTGTTCTTTCTTTCTTCTTCTATGTCCATCCCTCAACGCCTAGCTCTGCTTCGAGGCTTTTCACGTATCTTTTCCTTAGTTTCCTGTCTTCTCAGACTTTGGAAATCTTGATCACTCAGGCTCTTCAAGCCTAGCTCCGTGCCATCCTCTTCCAGGAAGCCTTCCATGCTTCACTCCTCCCATCCCCAGAGGTCGATGTGAGTTTCCCTTTGCTCTTAGACGTCGACATGAAGAAACCTCCGAGCGGGGATGCAGGAGACTCATGTGAGCTGTGGGATCAGAGAGTACTTGCTGGGCACAGTGTGAAGGACCCCAAGTTGGCACTCGCAATCTTGGCAAGACGGTTACTGTTGCACGCGTTTTGGGAAGAGCACAGTGTAACTCTCAGCAGCATCACAGCCATGGTCCCAGCAATTCATTCAACAACCCCGAATCACCCTTTTCAGGATTTTCATATCCTTTCCTACCTTTCCATCTATGGAACTCTTGCCCACCTGCCAAGGCGTAAGACACTACCTCTCTGACTCCTTCCTTGATTTCACGTTCCCACTCTCAACATTAAGCACAGTTGTTTCTTGTGATGCTGTAGGGTGAAAGATAAGGGATCTTCACACCTCTGCTGCAAAAGTCACTAAGCTTCCAGATGACTATTCGAGGTGACACTAGATGCCCATTTCTTTTCACGAGGCCATCTGCTCAGAAATTTTTCAGCTGTTCTCAATTTGTGAGTTGTACAAGAAGGAGGCTGCGGCTCCCCTACGACTGACTACCTCCAGTGATCAGCTCAGCTACACTCTCCCATGCTGTGTGGACCACATAGCCATGGGCTTGTGCTACACTCAGAGGGGACAGTGACCCTGGCAAGGACACTCTAATGATGGCACTGTCCTGACCACAGGAGAGATCGTTTTTGCAGGTTTAGGGGACCACGCTTCATATTTGAACAGTGTTATGCATAGTTTATGATGTTGCCCTACCCACTGTGGTGGTTAATTTTATGTGCCACCCTGAGTGGCCAAGGATGCCCAGATCAATCATTATTTCTGCTTGTGTCTCTGAGGGTGTTTCTGGAGGAGATTGGCATTTGAGTTGGTGGACGCAGTAAGGAAGATCGCCCTCCCCAGTGTGGATGGGCATTATCCAATTCATTGAGGCCTGAATAGAACAAAAGGTGGAAGAAGGAAGACTTGTCCCCCTTTTTCCCTCCTCACTGCTTGAGGCAGAACATCTCATCTCATCTTCTCCTGCCCTTGCTCTGGAATTGACACCATCAGCGCCCCGTGGTGTTCTGGCCTTCAGACTGGGACTAAATGACACCACCAGCTTTCCATGGTGTCCAGCTCACACACCTGAGACTGTGGGATATCTCAGCCTTCAAAAATGCATGACCAGGGGACGGCCCTGTTGCCGAGTGGTGGAGTTCGCACGGTCCAGTTCGGTGCCCCAGAGTTTCACCAGTTTGCATCCTGGGTGCCAACATGGCACTGCTGGTCAAGCCATGCTGAGGCAGCATCCCACATAGCGCAACCAAAGGCACTCACAACTAGAATATGCAACTATATACTGGGGGGCTTTGGGGAGAAGAAGAAGAGAAAAAACAAAAAGATTTGCAACAGATGTTAGGTCAGGTGCCAATCTTTAAAAAAAGAAATAATGCATGACCACATTCCTCATAAGTAATCTCCTTTCATATAACATATCGTACTGGTAAGATACCTTGAATATCGCACCAGCTGCAACTGTTAGAGATGGCTTCCTAGCCCTCCAATAGAACTGTGAGAAATGGCAAAATCAAATAAATTAAAATTATTTCCAAAGTATGGATGGGGACATTACACATCAGATGGCCAGATATTTGGGAGGGCTCAAAACACAGCCATTGGCCCAGATGGGGGTCTTGCCCACTAGAGTCTGGCTGGTCTTTTGCAAGCCCAGAGAAAGCTGATAGATGAACTACTCCAGAGCTGCGTTTGTGGGGTTGGACTTTGACAACATTCCAGAGGGCAGGAGAGCTGTGGCAGGCTTTGTCAGCAAACAGTGAAGCCGTGATCTGGGACCTTTAGCCACATGGGGAGGTGAGAGAAGAAAGGCTGGAGCTGCTGATGTGACTCCTGTCTCCAGGATCTGCCAGCTCTCTCAACACCTGGCACTAAGGCTTAACTTGGTGCCTTGTTCTGTAGATGGACACATGCTGGCCTCTTTCAGTGCCACACAGGTCCTGTTTCACAGATGACCTATGGCCTCCTGAACTTCATGTCCCCAATCTTTCCTGTCCCATTCACACTTTATCCCAGGCCAACGTCCTGGGCTTCTGCCTGTCTGGGAACGTCTAGCAGTCAGTATTTATCGACTATGCATTATGGCTAGTGGTTCTGTATATGGGCTGGATCTTTTCTGCTTAGATTCAAATACCAGCTCTTCTTCCTATCGACTGGGTAAGGTTAGATGTTTGTTGGGCCTCTGTTTCTTCATCTGTTAAATGAGTGTGCCCATAAGGACCCTGTCATTGGGCTGCTGTAATATTCATTGAGTTAATGCAAAGCCCTTTCTTGGTGCCTGGGACACACCAAGCTTTCACCTACTATCGTTGTTATCTTCTTATCATCGTCCTTCATGTTTCAACTCAAATCTCCCCTCTTACCTGCACCATTCTTGCGCTAAAGCAGCCCACATGAATCTGCCTTTTCTACTGCCCGTTCAAAGTACATCATCTGCATCTTACAACACACTAACTCTCCAATTGTTTGTTCCACAACTTTATCACGTTCATGTATGTAACTTCTCCATGCTAATTAATAAATCTACATGTCCTAATTCTTCTTACATATACACATATAAGTCTCATCTCTCCTCTCTAAATTTATCACCAGCTTCCATGTATAATAATATCAGATAGCTCAGTATATAGCATGATATATGTGGGGATTCAATAAGTGTGTATATAGGTCCTACCTACATATGAAATACTACCTTTCATTGGCAGGTCTCCAGAAATACATTCCCTTGAGGAATTCACCAGCACTCTTGCCCACTGTCTGGCTTTGCTAGAAGGCACACGTGGGTGGTGTTGTGGCAGAGAAATTGGCAAAGGGCTCTTGAAGACTTGGTTGAGTCCCTCAGGCCAGTCGGTCAGAAAAGGAAGCAGTAGGCTGAACTGTGTATTGCCCCAGAGTTGATGTGCTACACAGGAGAGAGAGGAAGCTGTTTCAAGGACCAGGGAGGAGCGGGAGTGGGAAACAATAAGGCCTCCTCAGGGCAGAATGCATATTGTGGCCTGATTGGAGAAGGGCGTTCAAGATGTAAGATGAGGGGGAAAGGCAGTACAGAGCAAACAACCCTGGGTGGGATGTGGAAGACTCCATGCAGAATTCAAGGCCTTGAGTAACAAGACTCAGTTTGCTTTCCCAAACTATCCTTTGCGTGTCAGTGTGCAGAGTGAATCAAAACAGAGAGTCATCAGAAAAAGGGAGGCCGTTTAGTCATAAGGAGGCTGTTAGAGTCCAGGTGGGTGGACTGCATGCTGGAGCTCCTCCAGGTGCGGTGAGGACGAAAGCGAAACACAGGCGGTCAGGGCATGCAGTGAATGTGCAGTAGCCACTATGGGAAGGACAGGAGGTCGAGGAGTGAGGGGCTCCTGCAAGTTTGATAGTGCTGCTGCCTGGACGGATGGTGGTTCCCCCAAGTGGGAAAAGAGACACAAGGACAGAACAGTTTGGGGAAGAAAAGAAGGAAAGATAAGGAGTTCATGCTGCATCAATTTTGAGATGTCGACAGAATTCAAAATGAAGGTGAACACGAGTTAAGTGAACACACAGTCTGGAATTGAAGGATGAAGAGAGACCGAGAGCTGGGAGTCCTTGCGGGAGGTTCAACGTGGGAGTCCCTGCTGTAGATGAGATCTCCTGAGGACAGAGAATTGGGTTGAGAAGAGAGCCACCCCACAACCCCAAGAATGGCTTAGATTTTAAGAGTGTGCGAACCAAGTGACAGCAAGAAAGGAGCTAAGAAGGAGGAGTCAGGGGTGCAGAAGCTAAGATGCAGCAGGTCATGGCTTGATTCTTTGTGCTTCTGCAATGCCAGGATTCTTACAGCATCCTGGTGACAGTGCTCTCTTCACTCAGGCTCTCACACCTGCCCCCCCCAAATCTAAAGCCGTCTCTGTGCTTCATTTACCTGTTAGTTCGGAGACGCATGTTCCGCCGTATTGGTCAGAAAAAGAAGAGACTCCAATGTATCAACAGGCAAAAGACCTGATTAGAAAATTGACCAACTGGTATGGGGTCAGTGCCCAGTAACAGACCTCTGGCTCCTTCTCCTCCTCCAGAGCCTTCACTGATCTATCTGGCTTCCTTCTCCTTTTCCATACAGCCCTGATCTGCTTTCTGCCTCCTTGCCTCCCAGGGGCCCTCAGAACCCACACTTGCTCCCTCCCCTCGTATACTGTTCTAGGCCATCGTGTCAGCTGCTTTGAGTGCTGGGTCCGTGATAAGACTGGGCCATTTCAGGGTCATGGACTCATCGCTGTGCTACCTTCCCCATGAGATGAGTTTCTGGGATGGTCAGGATATTGAGCCACGTTTTCCATGTAGGGACAAACTTCTGGATGTGGATCTTCTGGGACAAAATGTATTTGACATTTATAAGGTTTTGACATGCGTAATGAAAATGTCCTCGAAAAACTGTGCCTACAGGAAATACTGTTGAAAAATCAGGGGCTGAGATCCAACATCCATTTATGATAAAAACCCCCAACAAAATGGGTATAGAAGGAAAGTACCTCAACATAATAAAGACCATATATGACAAACCCACAGCCAACATCATTCTCGACAGACAAAAGCTGAAAGCCATCCCTCTGAGAACAGGAACAAGACAAGGGTGCCCACTGTCACCACTCTTTTTCACCATCGTACTGGAGGTGTTGGCCAGAGCAATTCGGCAGGAAAAAGAAATGAAAGGAATCCAAATAGGCAATGAAGAAGTAAAACTCTCACTTTTGCAGACGACATGATCTCATATGTAGAAAACCCCAAAGAATCCATAGGAAAACTATTAGAAATAATAAACAGCTGCAGCAAAGTTGCAGGGCATAAAATCAACATGCATAAATCAGTAGCATTCCTATACACTAACAATGAAGTAACAGAAAAAGAACTCAAGCACTCAATCCCATTCACAATCGCAACAAAAAGAATCAAATACCTTGGGATAAATTTAACCAAGGAAGTGAAAGATCTATACAATGAAAACTACAAGCCTTTCTCGAAAGAAACTGATGACGACATAAAAGAGATGGAAAGACATTCCCATGCACTTGGTATTGGAAGATTAAACATCGTTTAAATGTTCATACTACCTAAAGCAATTCTACAGATTTCAACGTATTCCCAATCAGAATCCCAATGTCATTCTTTACAGAAATTGAACAAAGAATCCTGAAATTCATAGGGGGCAACAGAAGACCCCGAATTGTAAAGCACTCCTGAGAAAGAAGAACAAAGCTGGAGGCATCACAATCCCTGACTTCAAAGCATACTACAAAGCTACAGTAATCAAAACAGCATGGAGCTGGTACAAAAACAGGTGCACAGGTCAATGGAATGGAATTGAAAGCCCGGAAATAAAATGACACATCGATGGACAGCTAATCTTCGACAAAGGAGCTAAGGGCCTACAATGGAGAAGAGAAAGTCTCTTCCACAAACGGTGCTGGGAAAACTGGACAGCCACGTGTAAAAGAATGAAAATCGACCATTCCTTTTCACCATTCAGCAAAATAAACTCAAAATGGATCAAAGACCTAAAGCTGAGGCCTGAAACCATAAGTCTTCTAGAAGAGAATATAGGCAGTGCACTCTTTGGCTTCAGTTTCAAAAGAATCTTTTCGGACACCGTAACTCCTCAGACGAGGGAAACAATAGAAAGAACAAACAAATGGGACTTCATCAGACTAAAGAGCTTCTTCAAGGCAAGGGAAAACAGGATTGAAACAAAAAAACAACCCACTAGCTGGGAAAAAATATCTACAAGTTATTTATCTGACAAAGGGTTAATGTCCATAATATATGTATAAAGAACTCACACAGCTCAACAACAAAAAATCAAACAACCCGAAAGCCATCCCTCTGAATGGGCAGGGGACATGAACAGACATTTCTCCAAAGAAGATATACGGATGGCAAATAGACACATGAAAAGATGCACACCATCACTAATCATCAGGGAAATGCAAATCAAAACTACACTAAGATATCACCTTACACCTGTTAGAATGGCAAAAATAACCAAAACAAAAAGTGACAAATGTTGGAGAGGTTGTGAAGAAAAAGGAACCCTCATACACTGCTAGTGGGAATGCAAACTGGTGCGGCCACTATGGAAAACAGTATGGAGATTTCTCAAAAAATTAAAAATAGAAATACCTTATGACCC